CAAACCTTCTCCACTTAGCAAGTACATATATGCTGTTGAATGGGAGAAAGAATTTAGAAAGAAAAATATTGTTACTTTAAAATTCTCGAGCATATGACCCAATTCCAGGCAAATTTTATTTTTTTGTTAAAAAAAAGCTTAAAATTCAACAAAAAATCGACGGAATGATAAAAAAAAAACAAGCACATTCAGTACTCTGTTAATAGCCTTTTGGAGTTGCTGAAACCTCAACAGGGCCTAAGTGTGGAACCAGTCAATGAATGCACTATCTATTGGGACAACCTCCTCAACTTTCCTTCAAATTGACGAGTTTCTCGCCCATATTCCTAGCTCTTTTCTTTGCCAAGACCTTCCCTATCCTTTTCTATAGTGTATCGATGACGCTTGGGATATGCAACTGAAGTTGTCCCTCCGTTTGAATCGCGCCATGCTGTCAAGAGCGCTCTTGCACAGTTGAGGTGCGATGCTTTGGATCGCTCTATTGCTAGAAGACGAAGTCAGTTCGTGCAGGTGCCATACAGTCGAATACGGAACACCTTCTAGAACCTAACTTTATACGTCAGCCTTCACCACATCTCAAATCCTATGAAGTTGTCCGACGGTGAAGTGATAGGGAATGGAATGAGTCCGCGCACACCAGAACGGGAGATCCCCACAGGGCTCCAACGTCATCTGGAGCGACGAAAGTAAATTTGGGATGTTAGGAGACCACAGTGCAACACATGTGTGGCGTTCCGCCGGAAGAGGTTTCGATTCGAAGTATCAGCTGCTATCCGTGAAACGAGGCAGAGGCTCGCTTACGTTAGTCTGTAAAAGAGGTGCAACTACAGCATAAAATTTCGAGAAGTGGTGAAGGCTCACGTATGGAGTTAGGTTCTAGAAAGTGTTGCGTACTCAACCGTATGGCACCTGGCCCAAACTGACTTCGTCTTCTAGCAATAGAGCGATCCAAAGCATCGCACCTCAACTGTGCAAGAGCGCTCTTGACAGCATGGCGCGATTCAAACGGAGGGACAACTTTAGTTGCATATCCCAAGCGTCGTCGATACACTATAGGAAAGGATAGGGAAGGTCTTGGCAAAGAAAAGAGCTACGAATATACTTTTCCATTCCTAACTCTAACTCCCACCCAACACTTATACGCTTGCCTAGTGAAGAATGTTTGCCTCTTAAACATATCAAAATTTGAACTGATTTGATTCAGCAGAAGAAAAGTTACGGCCGAAAATGCATTTGGCCGAATACTTTTGAGCGCCACTGTATGTTGTGGACTGGGTGGAGTGTGCAAATCAGGCAAATCCATGAGGAACAGTAGCCTAGTGTAAATGATTTCGGAGTTCTGACAGCAAAAGCCGAACCTATTCTGAGTCCGACCTTCTGAGATATTGGTGGAGCACGAGAGTGACCTTGCGCTGGGAACCGCCGCCCAGTAATACTAGGGTCACTGAAGAAGGCAACGTCTACAGCGTAATGGCGACGCGTTCAATTTGAAAGTAAAGCAAGACAAAGTCTGCTTTTTTTCTGAGGTCGTTCGACCCCACCTTGCGTAGAATATTCATAAAAAATTGGCGACTCTCGGGCTAACAGTTCTTTCAGCTTCCTTGCCTATTGCCAGCGAAGGACAGCATGGTCTGAGATCTAGCGCTCATTTCCACCGAAGAAGAACTGGAAGTCGGGTTTGAGGACGCATTCACGGACGTGATTGCGTTCTGCAAACCGGACTATCCAGTTCTCCTTCGGTGGAGCTAATGGAGTTACAAAGTACAGACAGGGTCAGGTCTCATTTGTAAGCAAGATTTTGCACAGGGCTGTAGTTTTAGATTAGCAAGCACTTTAGACAAAAAAAAAAAAAAACTAAAATTGGAAAATACCCAAAATGAGTCTCCAACACTCATATAAAGTATTGGGTTGGTGCATAATATCGTAGCGCTTGCATTTTTCATTTTTGCACGCAAACGTTTTGTGAAGAAATTAAAAACATAAAACTAATCAGGGATGTCCACTTTGCCATTATTTACGACTTTTATCCTATTTTGCAGAAAGTCACTGGATTTGGAATTGAAAAAGATGTTGGGCTCGCTCTCGAAGTCTTCATTATTTCGCAATTTGTACGACATGAATACGGTCTTAATTTGAGTGAAATATGTAGGGTTGGTTAGAGAGAGGTTCGATAAGAACAATGGATTCTGAAGAACTTTTGTTTTGACGGTATTTTTTTCTTTATGTGAACTGAAAAATAACAGCTGTCGAAATGCCGATTTCTGCCGTCTGGATTTTCCAACTTCTAAGCATTATGTATGAGTACAAATATAATTTTGAGGGAAATGACGAAGTAATTTTTGTAGAGCGAAAAAAGCACTTTCAAAAGGTATAGGCGATTTTTAGGGTTTCTCTTGTACTGATTGAATTTACGCCCAAAAAAAACGCTACGATATTATGCACCAACCCAATAGAAGTGTAGTTACGAATGGGACGATTCTAACCTATTGACGAAAGCTAACGTGACTGCGCGTCCCAGACAAGCCATCTCATTTTCTTGCGCTTGCGCGACTTCTTCCCTGTGTTTGTATTCATTCTATAGACCATACCATAGCATAACTATAAACAGCATGATTCACCGTATGATGAAAAATGCTTCAATTGAGCATGCGTTGTCATTCAAACTTTGTGCATGTGAGAGGAGGCAGCGAAATCGCTCCTGTCCTACGGTGCTAAGAAACTCGAAACACACGCTGTCGCCAGCGTGTGAGAACATTTGCTACAATGGCGCAAGGGAAACAACCCTGCTTTTGTTTTTGCGTTCCACGTGCGTACCCTTAAAATATGTGAAAACCGTTCGAAAGGTTCCCATATCCTCAAAGACCCCACTCATGGACATCGAATCAGCCAAGTCTTCACATGTGTCGTCAAATGTGCTACACTGTCTGCAGCTCACTATAGGCATTTGATTTCGCGGCAATAGGATGAAGGCGGTGGGGAGGGTTTTTCCTGGCGTGATGCTATATTTATGCAGGCGTGTTATGTGTCTTTCATCCTTGCACTACTATCAACCCATTTCATAGTTACTACGGTACTGCCCTTCAGTCCTTCTAGAAGCAGGCAGGTTTGTCAAAAAGCTATTCTGCGCGAGTCTATGCTAACCTCGAGGTCATCTTGACATGTTTTTTACTTAGGACTTCCACATCCTTAGTTCCCTTGCAATACCATGACAGTGAACTTGTAAAGCTCTGGGTTCTTTTACTTGGAGGCTATCTTCACTTGTGGTGTATGGTCTGCATCCGACGCTCTCCTCATCTTTTAAAAGGGAGGGTACTATGCTTCGGATGTGGGAGTTTTAGCGGTTGAATAATTTCTGATGACGATGATAATGAAATAGAAAGGCTCGCGTTCATAGTTCGCGACTCCGGAGATTAGGATAGTACGCGACAATGAAAAACATATGTATTGACGGGAGATTAGGATAGTAGTAGAGTAGGAGATTGCGCTGACAAGATTAGATACGTATCGATTGAAATCGCTGGAGAGTAGTAGATTGCGATATTACGATAGTAGGATAGTAGTAGAGTAGGAGATTAGGATAGTAGTAGATTAGGATAGTGCGCTGACAAGATTAGATATGTATTGATCTATTCGCTTGAAGTCGCCCAATCTACTACTCTCCAGCGATTTCAATCGATACGTATCCAATCTTGTCAGCGCAATCTCCTACTCTACTACTATCCTAATATCCTGTCGCCTACTATCCTAATCTCCCGAGTCGCGAACTATGAACGCGGCCTAACAGCAAACAGCATGTCGACTTTCCACGAACACCGACCATCATAGAGTTTACGGAGGTTAGCGGTGGAATGGATTTCGATATTGACGACGATATCGCGAATGAAATGGAATGTTTCCTCATCGCGCATCTAGATAACAACTTCAGTCACTTCTCCGTCCTCAAGCTACTCTTTCACATCACCCCTTATCAGCTGTTATCACTCTCTGTCCCCCTCATGCGTGTTAGATTGAGCTCGGCTCTAATGAATGGGGTTTTACGATGCATGGACTTCTTATCCCAATTTTTAAGGAATCCTTTTAATGCTGCGAACAACTGGCGGCCTCACACTTGCGTTATTTTTGTTGTTTTTTTTTGTGTTATACGGGTTCGTGAATGGGGTAATACAAACGTAAGTGCTTGACGTGGCGTTGGCACCTCTGCGCCTCCTATACCCCGTATTTGGAATAAACCCAAAAATTTTCATGTGTGAGCACTTTGCAATGTGTGGCATCGGAGGAATTCATTAGCGATTTTGTATGGCTTTAAGGATTGTCGAAATCTGCAGTCGACAGTAATGTTTTTGAGCAGGCCTAGGGTCAGGAAAAGTCGGTGGTCTTCTTGTTAGTCATTGAGGGGGGGGGGAAAGGTGGGTGTCGTTGCGATGCACTTCCTTTTCTAATACCAAGCTGCTAGTAGGTTCATTCCTACGACATTTCTTTCGGTTTTTGCGTTTTGTACGTCTTTTTGTGTCAGATGACGTAAAAAAAACCTAATACTCACATAGTGAGCAGCTGGGACTAAGCTGAGAAGAACGGGGAACTCCGGGGAACGTGACCCACGCGTCCGGGATCTACCCCTTCGAAGGATTAGTCATAAAAAAGCAGAGTGTGTGGATGTTTTTGAGCACTTTTTCAAATGATTTTTTTATTGCGTTGTACATTCTTCCTGATAACTTTCTAAAAGTTTCGGTGTGAAATCAACACATCCACTTGGGATTACAATTCCCTGGGCAATGTAAAATATCTGCATGCTGCGAAGGGCATCACGTGGCGTTTACATACTGCAGTCGTCGATATCTGTTTGTATTCAAGAGATCATCTCTCGAGCACGAAACTGTTGCATTATCACCTATCCGTTACTTCTCATACTAAGCTATCGCGCTCTGCGGCGCTATTTGCTCTAACTTCTCCTTGACGTCCTTTATTTCCTTCAGTTTTCTAGCACACATAATGCTAATCATATGAATTTTTTTCAAGGAGCCATGGCGATAGCTAAATCATTACGACTCATTCTGGAAAGTATACCAGGTGTTAATACGATATTTCTCACCGATCGCGATGGAGTCATAGTGCTAAGTGTAGGTGAGTATGTATTTTAGGCTTAGTGTTTTCCTTTACATTAGTGTTTTCCTACTGGTAATATGTCAGTCAGTCAGTGGCCAAGTGATTGAGCAGGGGTGCAAAGTGGCGTAGCGGTTCAAGTGGAATGATCGATGGACAGAAATAATTTTTTGCGTTTTGCAGCGGAAACCTCGGGCTGGTGTCAGAGTTTGCGGTCCGTCGCGCGAATCGCAAGTGCCCCATTTTGAACATTTGAAAAAAAAAAAACTGAATATGAAAGAAGTAAATCATGAACAGTCGTCATTCAACCATCACCGTCAAGCAGAAGTGGAGGTGGAATTGGAGAGCCTCTCGCAGAATTGGTGACGGCACTTGTATTTTTGTGATCCGCCGGGCGATCTCGCGAATCGCGCATTTCTGACACCAGCCTCAGGTCCGTCGCTTGCGGAAGCGGGAATGCTTTTCTTTTCCTCGGTGAATCATACCACTTCAAGAATTAAAGACCGGCCGTCACATCGGGCGATCGCGATCGCTCCATCGCTTGTCCGTCGCGAGTATGACGGAGGTCTAAGGGATCCAAAAGTTGTGGCATGCTAGCCGATGAATGACCGATGCCAATTACGTTTTTCTTTGATACGAGCAGCTTTGGTGCAGGCGGCGTGTCGGCACGTTTAATGTCAGCGATTCCCTGATCCTCTTATCTCTTCGCCTTCTTAATGTTTTCTCATTGATAGTCATCAATCTACCAAGGGGCCTAGGAAGCAAATGGAAATGTCACAGGTTTAAGAGTGGGCAGGCAAGGTGCCAGAAGAGCAACTTGCAGTAACGTTTAATCGCATTTAAATCAAGAGAAGTGATATTTTGTCTGATATGGGGGTGAGAAGTCCAATTGACGTAGCACAAATGTTCAAATGTTGACTCAGCTTGACATGAAACGTGGAAAGCCTTGAGTGGTAGCACGACCAGCCACGCAAGATGCTTGCTGGCCAGTAACTTTACTCCGGTAGTTAGACGGCATTTACTCCTTCGCATTTCCTGATATTATTAAAAGAAAACTAGTCAACAATTTAGCAAGCCTTCATGTTTGCTTTATCCCCCGTGAGCGCTAAATAGCGTCTACAAAGGCTAATGTTCATCACCTAATCGCTTACCTTTTGTGTTAGCCCTTCTCGTATTTTGACGTCTTCCTGTACAAGTACTCCTTGTGCTTCTTTTCATCGAATCTTAAAGACCATTGTGAGCCTTTTGTGTTTTATTTCAACTGTTTGAATCGTAAGACATCAAATATCTCGTTCCTTTCAACGAGCTTAGTTTGCATGCGTCTCATCTGTGAGCGGTGTTCATGTCTCTATGCCACAGTTTCTTTGCGGGCTGTCGCTAAGTATACAGTCGTATCTCGAACTCTGATTGGGCGTGTCACCGGAAATGACGTGGCAGCCATCGCACTTGCTAGATGCCACGTGGATAAGATACTCCGCCAGATATCAGCGAAGCATGCTGGAAGCAGCTTATCCGCGCAATTTCTATCAAGTGCGGTGGCTGCCACGTCATTTCCGGTGACACGCCCAATCAGACTTCGAGATTTGGAGTGTAAACTAGGTAAAGTGTTGCCATCAAGCTTTTCTGATGTAGAGTGGCTTGGGTGCGACACGGACGCGAGCGGCGCGCCAAAATCTGCTCCTGCAACCAGAGTCAACCCTGCGTTGCGCAGTTCGCAACGGCACGTCGAGAGATCCTCAACGCACGCTGTATGGGCGGAGACACAGACGGCTCGAGCATGCGAGTGTGAATGTTCGCGCGAGAGAACGTGTCTAATCGGGCGAAACTGCGCAACGTGGCCGTTGAGAACTGCGCAACGCAGGGTTGACTCTTGCTGTCTCAAGAAAATGCCGTGAGCTGGGGTGGAGTGGCCGATGTCAGACTTGCGATTGAGCGATGTAAGCACTAGACTGCAGAGCGACGCATGAAAGGGGCGGAGAATTTGCACGGCTACCACCTGATAATTCGGCGACATTAGCTTCGTAAATTGTCCCGTACGCTCACGCGATGCTCACTCGCTCGGAGCCGTTGCCAGTCGTGGCCCTTGTGGCAAGGACCCGGCGAGCGACGGGAGGTTTACGGAAGCCTAAGGCGCCGAATTACTCGGTGCGTACGGCAAGTGTAATCTCACCAGTCGCTACGCAGCGACGATCGCTCAACGTGATTCCGTCGCTCCTGCACAAGGTGCCGCACAATTGCACCATCGCAGCCAGTCTGACTTCGGCACAGTGAGGCTCTAAGGGGTGGAGGGGGAAGGTGAGGCCAGTCACTTGACAATTACGTGAAGCTCTTCAGACAATACCTAACCATTTGGGTGCGGCCGCGTTCGCCGCACCCAAATGTGAGCGTATGTGAGCAGAGCGCCGCGCCGCTGCGTGGTCCCCCCAACCCATTTAGCACCGCTTTTTCAACTCCTTTATCCACTCCTCACAGCCTCCTCCAAGAGCTACTGGCAGCGCCACATGTTTTTTTTTTTCTGATATTTAGTGAAATTTGGGAAAATTCCCACATTTCGTTAAATAGCAAAGAACTATAGATACCCTGAAATTTAGCAATCAAAAAATCGCATGAAAGGGATCGATCATACATCTATAGGGGCGGGGAAGAGACAAAAAAGTCATTTTGCGTGGCGCTCATCATCATACTTCTCATCTCACAGGGTGCCGCTGCTGGTGGAAGTTTTACAGCCAAATGCTTCCTAGATCCCCCATAAGCATAGGCAGGTCTCCCTTTACTAGCCTCCACCGTCTCCAGAATATGACGTCATCTGTCATCACCGTCGAGCTCAAGGAGGCCTACCATAATCGCTCCATTCTGAAGCTGCTACATAATTTCTTCAATCGGATAAACTGGTGAATGGCTTCTTAGAGACACTAGCTCTGACTATGCAAGATGGCTTTTGACCAAGCGGTCCCGATGTCGTCATAATGGTATGTGGGCCATCGACGACCTAAATGAGGGCTCGCTACCCCGTGCGCCCAGTATCCTTTAGAAAATTCCCTGATGTCGTCGGTGCAGAAGGCTGCTATGCAGCTTTGTTAGATTACATAGAATGTGGTCGCCAATTTTCATTTGGGCACATTCGGTTTCCGTTTCCAGTTTTGCATGAACTTGCAGATTGGCTCTCCATTTAGTCAGCAATGTTTCATAGGGCTCTTAAAATTGCACTTTATGATAGTCATCGTCAGCACTGTCGCTGTTTTCACTCTTCTTGATTTCTTCGTGCACGCCAATTTTTTCCACATTTCGTACGGCAAACGCTTACTAACGGGGTGAAGCTCAACTCAACAACTGCTTTAACTTAATTTCGCGCTATAATTTCTAAAGCGCCACAAATGTATGCCTAGGCACTTCCATTCTCACCTGTCATGTTTGTCCTATACGATTAAACATGTTGACCCTTTGCCTTTCACTTGGATTAGTGGCTCGAAGCTGAGCGTGCCCGTAACCCTGCCCTACACCCAGAAACGATCTTCTTCAAAGTGCGTTAAACATTAAACATGTTCAATCATGCCTGATGCTTTTCTCATTAAGGTGAGGAGCTTCGGTCAAGGGCGTCATTGATATCAAGTCTGCAAGGCACTCAAGATCAAACTGGGAAACTTCTTTTTGGTAAGACTCCAGCTTAAAGGTTATTTTGGGCTAATAGGTTTCTGTTTTAGGTCCTCATATTTCCTCAATATTTTTCTACGAGAGTAGCCAGCTGGTCATTTTGAATGTTCCACCATTGATGGCATTCATCGTTGCATCACCAACTGCTAGCACTGGTAGCATCCTCAAGCTACGAGAGCAGCTGGAACCTTTGTTGCAAGATATCGAGAGCATTGTTCCTGACATGCCTGGAGGTGTGTTATATTTTCTAAACTACCGCAATCAGTACGATTACTTTTGTGCTCACCATCAGTGAAAATCGCGGCTTTGAGCCCACAAAACAGTGGGTTTTTGGAGTTCTTAGAAATGGTCAAGTTGAAAGAGATAATTTTTTAAAGGTTCCTGCCGCCATGAGTCAGAAAACCGTAAACTAATATGGGCTCAAGGTTGATCGTGATATGAAGTTTTTTTTTGAATCAGTGCGCCATTTCTCATTGGTTTGAGTGTTTCCCTGAAATATGTTGCGCAGTAGCTGCTAGCACTGAGCACTGAAAGCAGCTTATGCACTTCTCTTGATCGATGCCCTTGTTCGATTTTGTGCCATGATACTGCGGCTGTCCTCACATTCCTAATTTCTTTGTTTCATACATATCTGTAGCTGGCGTCAAAGTCCGCGATCCGTCGGGAATCGCGCGACGGATCACAGAAATCACAGGTGCACCGATCAATACTTCACGGGTGCTCTACAATCGGCGCCGCCCTTTCTGCTTGGCGGTGGTTAAGGTTGAATGGGCGACATTCATGATTACTACTTGTTTAAATGGGCATATGCCATTTTTACTATTGCGCGAATCGCGCGGAGTAGCAACCTTTGGCTTCGACTAGGCGCTATTCTTCGTATTTCACCAGCTTTCTCCGAAGACTAGAGTTGGGTGAACCTGCAAAACAGTCCATGCCTAAAGGAATCCTCCGCGAGAAATGTTTGCAACTTGACATGAATGTGTCAGTTGTGATCACTGGAAACAGCCACATTTTTATTATTAAGTTATTTCGCGCATGAAAGATTCGGTTTCCGAAGAGAAACAAACGTACAAAATACACACTCTATGGACAATCGAAGGTAATTTGGGCGGAGCCAAAGACGAGGCATGGAAAGAAGTTGGCCTTTGGCCGGCTACATATCAGACGACGCAATGAAAGAATCGGAATTAAAGCGCGCGATTTCGGAGAGTAGAGACAAATCGATCGATAGAATAGGATGGAGTAGAAGTGTGAGATGTGAATGCAATAAAAGCAAAAGGCCAGAAAGAGTTTCTAGTGAAGGCACTCCAAGAACCAAGTGGAAGCATCCCGTCGCCAGCATTTGATGTGAAGAGAATGTCACGTGGGCTTGGTAGCAGCCCTTTCAATTTTCCGAATTTTTTTCGAAATTAGGAAACAAAAGCAATATTTCTATTCTTTTCATTCTTATCGTGAACGATGAATCCCGCAAGTGGTTTATGCTGAAATCAGAATCTAAATTTGTTCCTGAGGGATGCTTTATATATGGTCTGTTACGTCACGAAATTACGTGAGATCTAGCTAGTCACAGAGAATTTCATGGGGTACCTTCTATAAGTTCAGAACGATATCTCTCCATGCATCGAGTTTGTTCTTGCAGGAAACAATACCGCGTGATAGTGAGGCGCGTCAATCAAAGACGTCTGCCATGGGTGTTCTAAGTGAGAACGCGTTTCACTCTGTGATGTTTCTGCGAATTAATATCAGTAACGAAATGTAACTTTTTATCTTATGTCTATTCGGTGATTGTTGCGTGTGGAACCATATGCAATTTGTAAATAATGTTTTTTTTCGTCATATGAGGTTTATGCAGATTTTGTTTGTTCCATGATAAACGATGAATTGGATAGTAAGGTTGATTTTGTTTCATTCTCCAAATTCTCAGTGGTTATGTTCGATGATTTTTTGCACAGTAATTAATTAGTCTTGATTAACGCCTGAATAAATATCCCTCACATCTGTGCCTCATCAGGTCAATACGTTCGATGTTACATCACTACCTGATATTCCATGGAAGTCTCGCTGACAATTTATTGCATGCTGTATATTATGAAATATCTTCACTGATACTCTTCTAATTTTTTTTCTTCGTCTCCGGTTAGGGTTGGGGCTTACACAACGCACAGCGTTGTGCTGTCCGGGTCTAACCCAGTTAGGGGGGACATCATGATGCAGTTTCTCGGCCAGCTAATGTA